GAAGTCCGATTCACCAAATGCACCTTTTCTGCTCGGCAATCTGTGCGACTGCGCGACAAGCTTGGAGGCTTTCCCACAACGTGTTCTGACTTCGGGACCTCCAGCGCCTACTGCTACGAGCGGTTGGATCTTATGCGCGCATCTTCTTGCTCTGACACCTTGGAACGCACAACGCGTTTCTCGTTGCCGTGTCGTTCCATGGATCTTGCGCCACCGATGACCCTTGGCTGGGCGACCGGAGTGCCCAGCGCAGGCTGAACTAAAAATCCAGCGTGAAAGGCGCATCCTCACGGCCAATTTCGCGGCTTAGTGCTGAGATGTTTGCCCATATTCGGCCTTGGAATGCACACAACATGCAGTTCTGGCCTAAGTCTAGCGCGGTCGTGTTGCGATGCTTGCTGCCAAGCTGCTGTAAACCAAGGCTGGGTGGGAGGCGAAAAACCACTCGCGGACATAGTCGCTCGGCATCCTTAACAGTTAACAAGGAAGAATCGATCGCAGTGAGCGTGTGCAGGAACGAGGAAATGCTTCCATAAGCTTCGATACCCGCGTGGGCGCGAGCAAGCAAACGTGCGTAGGTGTGTTGGTGTGTGTGTGTGTGGGTGTGTGCGTGTGTCGGTGTATGTGGGGGTATGTGTCGGTGTTTGTTTGTGCCTGTGTGTCTGCGTGTGTGTGTGTCGTGTGTGTCGTGTGTGTATGTGTGTGTCGTGTGTGTGTGTGTGTCGTGTGTCTGTGTCGTGTGTCTGTGTCGTGTGTCTGTGTCGTGTGTCTGTGTCGGGTGTCTGTGTCGCGTGTCTGTGTCGTGCGTCTGTGTCGTGTGTCTGTGTCGTGTGTGTGTGTGTCGTGTGTGTCGTGTGTGTGTGTGTGTGTGTGTCGTGTGTGTGTGTGTGTGTCGTGTGTGTGTGTGTGTGTCGTGTGTGTGTGTGTGTGTGTCGTGTGTGTGTGTGTGTCGCGTGTGTGTGTGTGTGGTGTGTGTGTGTGGTGTGTGTGTGGTGTGTGTGTGGTGTGTGTGGCGTGTGTGGCGTGTGTGTGGCTTGCGTGGTGTGTGGTGTGCGATGTGTGGTGTGTGGTGCGTGGTGCGTGTGGTGTGTGTGTGTGGTGCATGTGGTGTGTGTGTGTGTGGTGTGTGCAGTGTGTGTGTGTGTGTGTTTTGTGGTGTGTGTGGTGCGTGTGGTGTGTAATGTGTGGTCTTTATGGCGTGTGGTGTGTGTGGTGTGTGGGTGTGTGTGTGTGGGTGGGTGTGTGTGTGTGGGTGTGTGGTGTGTGTGGTGTGTGGTGTGTGGTGTGTGTGTGTGTGGTGTGTGTGGTGTGTGTGTGTGTGTGGTGTGTGGTGTTTGTGGTGTGTGTGTGATGTGTGTGTGTGTATGTGTGGTGTGTGGTGTGTGGTGTGTGTGGGTGGTGTGTGTGGGTGTGTGGTGTGTGGTGTGTGTGGTGTGTGTGGTGTGTGGTGTGTGTGGGTGTGTGGTGTGTGTGGTGTGTGTGGTGTGTGTGGTGTGTGTGGTGTGTGTGTGGTGTGTGTGTGGTGTGTGTGGTGTGTGTGGTGTGTGTGGTGTGTGGTGTGTGTGTGTGGTGTGTGTGTGTTGGGTGTGTGTGGGTGTGTGTGTGTGGGTTGGTGTGTGTGTGGGTGTGTGGTGTGTGTGGTGTGTGGTGTGTGGTGTGTGTGTGTGTGGTGTGTGTGGTGTGTGTGGTGTGTGTGGTGTGTGTGGTGTGTGTGGTGTGTGTCGTGTGTGTGGTGTGTGGTGTGTGTGTGTGTGGTGTGTGTGTGTGTGTTGGGTGTGTGGGTGTGTGTGTGTGTGGGTGGGTGTGTGTGTGGGTGTGTGGTGTGTGTGGTGTGTGGTGTGTGGTGTGTGTGTGTGTGTGGTGTGTGTGTGGTGTGTGTGGTGTGTGGTGTGTGTGTGTGCGGTGTGTGGTGTGTGGTGTGTACGCGTGCGTGCGTTTGAGAGGGAGAGAGAGAAAGAGAGAGCTTGTGCTTGAGTTTGTCTTTGTGTTTGTGCGTGTGCGGCGCATCTTGAGACGTACTTTGCAATTTTGTTCTGAAGCTTTTACTGACCCAATCGACGAGCGCGATGTTTGTGGCTGTGGCTGCTGGACTTCGTACTTGGGACTTGCATACTTAGCGGATTGCACACTTAAGCTAACACGCCGGCGTGAACTACCTGTATCCTCTCGTCCTCTTCTTCTTCTTCTTCAACCCACATCAAGTGTGTGTTTGTGTGTGCCTGTGTTTGTACTCGTGCGACTGAGGCCGGAGCTGCATCCACAACGTGCTGCTTCGGTAGCACAAAAATTCATCTTGGGGAAGCTTCAGCTGCAAGCCTGGGGAAGGGGCACCTGTTCGACAAGCGTTGCTTACATCATTTTGCTATCATGACGGCAGCGCTCCTCGTTCCACTGCGTTCGCCACGGACTCGTGCACAAAGACCGCGTCCGCGGACGTCAGGCGCAGCAAGTGGTATCCAAAAGGCTTGAACTTGCTGAGCGCATAGCTCAACGAGCAACCCGAGACTGGGTTGAGCGTGTCGATGTCATACCTCCGTAAAGACGGGATGCCCCTCATACTTGCTGCCAGTGCTTGGGCAACATGCACATCATGACCCTCTGCCTGCAAAACGCTGCCAGATCCATTTACCGCAATTTGCCTTTTACCTCATGCTTCCACCACCTCGAAAGAAGAAATCTACTCCCCCCATCCCCCAGCACCAAGTCCAAGGCTCTCCGCGTTCCAAGTCGGTGACCTCACCGCGTCCCAGTGCAGTGAGAAGCGGAAAGGCGGAGGGAAGTGGAAGGCGATCTCCAGTTGCAGAACCTCGCGTGGGAAAATTCCCAACATGCAACTCGGCAGCTCGCGTTGGGCGTGGAACACCTGATGGGCTTTGCCCCAAAGATACACACCTTTAGCGCGTGTTCCTTTTTGAAGGGAAAATGGTCAAAAGCAACTGCAAGCTCCCCAAACTTCATGAACAGCTTCCCACTGGAAAACAGACACTTTCGTGCTCAGGTCGAGCCTTGGGCCGCACCAGCTGCATCAGCTCCTCTGCCACGAGGCAGTCACAGCCTCAGGTCGCGGGCGTCTGCTAAACCCCCTGCATTGGGGGCGGGGCGCTGAGAAAAGAAGCAGAAACCGCAGAACGCCTTTGGGCTGAAGCAACGGTGGGATGGCCACCGACTTAGCATGGCACCGTCGATGTCAACGACCAGGAAATCTAGAGGCCAAGGTCGTGACGCCTGCGCGTAAGCCAAACAGTCACTTGCGTATCTTGCTGGTGGTTGTGCCACCCCAGTACTCGAGCTGGGCCGTGCGCCCTGACAGCATTCCGATGCCTCCGGGAACATGGGAGCCACGAATGGATATAGCTGACTTGCCGCAGTCGTGGGGTCCAAACTGAGGTGCACCTCGGACTGCAAGTGCCGCGAAAGCCGCGGTCGCCGCGCTGAGGACGGCACTGGCACCACGGTCGCATAAGTCCGAGCCATCTCCTCCGCACACCTGGCGGCCCACCCCGCAGGACTCGAGTCTCTGCTTCGAAGGCATCTCAGCATGAGGCCTCGCAAGTCTGGTGCTGTCCGCTTCCACGGCCAAGCCCAAAAAGCCGTGGCCTGCCAAGTGGGATCCGGATGGATGTGACAAGTTGCTCCAATGAGCTGAAGTTCCAGCACGGATGCTACAATGGTGGAGTGATATCTTGCCCTGATGCGCACCACATTGGGCATGGGCGACGGTCGGTTGCTCATGATGCAGTATGTACCCGAATGGCAAAAACCGGAGATTAACAATCAGCTTCTCCGTAATTAGTGGGTCGGATTGGTGGTTTGGTGGCTAAGGGATAGTTTCCCATTTACCCTCTAAAAGAACCAGGGGTTCAATTTCCAAACCAATCCAAGCCACTAATTGAGGCTTATCTGATCATGGGCAAACGCAACGGAAAAAAATCTGGTGACCCTTTGCCTTCCCATTTGCATCGGGCCTTCCGGTGAGGCTAAGAGCTGAAAAAGAGGGTCTGGTGGAAGACAAGTGCCGGCACCAATGTTCACCTTGGCACAGTTCTCTCGCGCCCCCCTTCCCACTTTCACCCTACATTTTGTCAGCTCCCCTCTAGTTGGTGGTTTCTTTTGGTGAGGTTACGGGGCGGTTTCCCATTTGCCCTCAAGAAGGGGTTCAAGGCAGTTGGGCTCAAAATCCGCACCGAATCCATAAGAGTCCTACCGGTTCTGGGCTACCGGGCGAAGGTTCCAGTGACCTCTGCGAAGGCGCCCAGCAGCAGGGCCAGGGGCCACAGCACCGAGGACCTGTCGATTCGCCGATTCCCGTTCGCATGGAAAGGTCCCCCCCCCCCCGATTCGTTGGCCCGAGTGGAAAACACCTTGAACACCTGGAGGTTTGGCACCCAAAAAACAAAAAAAACAGAACTCCATCTGAAACCCAATGGCCCAAAACCCATCTCATATTGCCGATTCCTCACTTAAGGAATGCTGTTAAACACTCCTTCTATGTTGTTTCAGCTGGGGAACGGACCTGAACCCTTCCAGAGTACCCGACAAGCATCAACCTGCTCACTGACGGAAGGATTCGTATGGCCGCCGCATTCTTCAACACGCTGGGCATCAGGGACGGATGCATTCAACTGAAAATATGTGCCTTGTACACCCACGCCTGTGTAGATTGCGGATTGCAAAATGCCCTGGAGTGCCCAAACATTTTGCTTTTCTCTTGGGCTTTCGAAATGATTAATGGAAAACCCATCATGCTTACACGGTCATTGGGGGTCCCCAGGCATTCAACCTCCGTCCACCTTTCTGTCCCTTGCGCGCGCTTTCAAAGCAGCAGTTGTCAAACATACGGATTGCCTGGGGTGTGCACTCAGTCACCTAAGGCAACGGCCCATCCACCGTGGCTTTGGAGCCGTCCCCCAGGCCAGATGCGCACACCGAGCCAGGGGGATGCCGCCCTAGGCGCCAGCGCAGCCTGGCGTGCGAAAAACGGGGCCCACACACCCAGCTTGACGCATAGACCGCTTGGGGGAGCCCCAAGACCCAAAAGTGTTTCCTTTTTTTTGGCAGGTTCAGGCAGGTTCACATTGAAATTGGAAGCGCCTGCTTGAATTGAAGGCCGCTTCATCTACTGCCGCATCTGGGAAGAGCTTGTCGAAGTAGTTCAATTCTGCAGCGGTCAGATGTGACGTGGAACCTCGGCAGGAAGCTGCCGAACAAGTGCATGCTCCGCCTAATTCCTTGAAGACAGCCAGTGCACGGCGGGTTTGCAGGAAAGCAGCGTGCAAAGACCTGGGCTGAGGCTTTTGACAATTTGGCTCAAGGGGGCAGGCAACTTGCACATCTCTCTATGGCCTGTTCCTTCTAAAAACATCTGTTCCCGCATGTCCCAGCTACCATTCATGAATCGCCCGAACACGTTACCATTCATCACGTCTCTTTCAGGACTGGGCAAACAGTTCGACATCAGCCAAGCTAAAGCAGAAGCATGGGTCAAAATCCAGCCCAGTTGGACAAGTTGTGATCACTTGTCAGCCATGTTCATGCTTTGCTTCTTTCGTGAAACCATGCGCGAGCCAGAGCTGATGACACTTGCCAGCAACAGAACACAGTCTCGTGAGATATTGAAGCACGTGTGCCTTGGCAGGTGACGCGCCAGGAAACCACTGCATACCTGTCATGCGTAAATATATATATATATACACACAATGTGCCTAGCAAAGGCGCTAAGAGCCCGAGTTGTACAAACGGGGGACAATGTGTGCCTCTTGGTTGACGTTGAGCATGGCGATCAAAACCTAAACCTGAACTCTGCAACCTTAAAATGCTCAAACCCTAGAACAACCGTACTAGATCCCCAGAACCCTCACCTGAACTCTACAACCCTGAAAGCTGGCGCCCAAATTGCGATTTGAGTGATCGATTTTGACATTGATGACTGCCAAACTCTCGATGCTCAAAGTCCCCAAACACCTACAGTCTGGCTACTGGTTAAAGCGGTGCTCAAGACCCACCCGAAACACCTACCCCAAACCCTAGCTAGACTCGCAACGAAAACCAGATCCTAACCACCTGCTCCCGGCAAATGTGTCCTTGGATTTCGCCCGTAACGACAAGCCGTGCGGTGAAGTTCACAATATTATTTTCATTTCGTTGCCTCAAGTTAGGAAGCATGCGGCCTGAGAGGCGACTTGTGTGACATGGCAACGCAGTCACGCGCATTCTGCTACTTTTCAAGTTGGGCTCGTGGCCGACCCAGGGCTAAGCTTAGGTAAGGTGAGGAAGCACGCCTCTCCAGCTCAAGGGATCACGTACCCGCACACGAGAGCAAATGCTTACGGATAGTAGCTATACAACAGGGCACCGTCCGCAAGCAATGCTGATTGCAGCATCAAACAACTGGCGGCTTCGCCAAAAACACGGCATGTTCCATAAGTTGCTTACCCTCAACAGTCAATTGGGGTGCTTGTTTGGTGCAAGGGGGTTGTCAAAAAATCGGAGCCCACAGCATCCCACAGTCCACCCAAGCCGAGGCGGCGGCATTGTACAACATCAGCTTGTCCTCTGACATTCCCTCCTGCCATGGTTCCGCACTTGGATGTCAACTCCGTGACTTCCAGGATATCCCAACACAAACCCAACAAGAACTCAATTTGGAGCATCACTAAGCCTTGCCAGAGCAAACATTGATTGCATTGGAAGCTGATACGAGCCTCTGTGTTGACACACTTTCCCTTCCAGCTTGCTGACTGCAATCCCAACAGCACGCCTTGCAACATTCACCCCCCTCCCAGGTCGCATCCAGTTGCACCGCAGCCGCCCATCCTTGCAGCAGTGAGCTGCAAGTGCCGCTGCTTGCCCCCAGCAAGTGCGAAGAGGGGGGCCATTCCTGGCACCATGCTTGCAGGATCTCACAGCTCACATCTTCACAGTTTCACTGAACACACTTGTTGCAAATGTGACTCTTGGCTCAATGCTAGCCAGGTGGCCACTCACAGCACCATTCTGGGTGCCTGTTGTGGGACCAACAGGACACGTCGACCTGGCATCGCTCAAGATTCAAGATCCTTGCAAAGCCCCGGAGTCCAGCAAGTTTGCCTGCATGCCACCTGTTTTTGGCCTGAATTTTAGAACCTGAATTTTAGAACCTGGTTCTCTCGGGAAACATCAGCAGGTTCACGCAAAACCTTGATCCCCGCTCCAAGACCCCGCGAGTTCCGGCGCCTCAAGTCGGGCGCCATGGCGCCAGAGGTGGTACACTCCTCCGTCAAGGCCTGACATACGTCGCTTTGAAAAGGTTGAGCCTTCCACATGGTCTGAGAGCACCTTGACAGGGTAGAGACAATGTGATTTCATAGGCTGCTGACCCAGGTTGAGCATAGGTACTGTAGCACGGACCAGGCGAGAGTTCTCTGGTGGTAAACTTTGTGAGGGCTTGCAGTTCGCATTGACTCTGTGGTCGGAGACATGCGAAAGCAGTGGGGTCCCCCGCCCAAAAGGCTACTGGGAGGCATGGCCTGGGGGTGCGGGCCTTGTAACGTCTGCGATCGAGGACCTGACGTGTCCACGTCCATGAGCTCGGCCTGAAGTGAAGCAATTAGCATGGGCCAACAAGATTCTCAACCTCTAGGTGTGGTTCTCAGGTATCATGCCCATCGGTTCTTGCCGGGCCGGCAACGCGCCCTTTGCCTCGTGACTCCGGCTTTGGCAATAAGGCGCTGCACGCGCGAATGCTTTTGGCAGGGCGCGTAGGCTTGGCGCCGGCCGGCCCAGACCAAGCCACTCTGGGGGCCAGCTTTGGCGCCACGCAACCTCTCGCCAACGCTGTCGGCCGCGAAGGTGTCCTTGGCGACTCTGTTTCGGATGTATCGAAGGTTTACGGGCACGTTCCTCGTTTGGCTGATTTGACGAACCAACAAGGCACCCCTACGACTTGAAATCGATACATTAACTAGCTGAGACCTAGAGAATCCAAAAGTTGAGACCTTAATAATGCATCCGGATGAAAAGACATGAAATACGTAGTAAAAGTGCAGAACGCAAGAGACAATGAGACACAAATGACAAAAATAAACGTATTTGACGCATTCTACTGTTTGACGCATTCCACTGGCAAATAATGAGTGTGTTTGAGCTGCGGCTGGAAAGATTGCAAATGCCGGAGGGGGCCTCATAAAGAAAAAACACCAAGCCAGACTTGAGCCGATGGCACTGCAGTCCGCATGCAAATGTCAGATTTGCCGCGGTAGCAGGCATAGAAAGCGTTGAATTGCCACACCTGGCAAAGCTTCAAGTCGACAACCACGCTTGTACTGATCAGCCTGAGAAAGGCTGGACGCACTTTTGCCAGCCCTGAGGGCACAATCCACTAAGGGCTTTAAGGGCTTGCATTTCCTGTAGCCTGACAGCAAAACGAATCACGAAGCTCCTGGCGACCTTGCTCCATCTTGCTCCCTTTGCTTCCCGGGGTCTCTCGCACCTCGCAGTCTTGGTCGTCGCAGCAGGCGGCCCGGCAAGCTTCCGGCCCAGCACTCACAGGTGAGGTCTTGTCCTTTCAGGGTATGCCCGTTGCCTGCCATCGCCTGCCACCTGGACCCTTGAGGGAGCCACTGTCAGGAAACAGTTGTGCCAAAGTCAATGCGCTAGCGTGGCTGTTTCAGCTGTGAACGGCACCTGCGATTCATGGCCGGCCAACACTTAGGTGGAATCAACGCGTCGTGGCCTCGCCTCGTCCAACCCGTAGCACTGAGTGTTGTCCAGCTTCTCCAGCACAGGGCACCCCAGCGCAGCGGAGAGAAGGCAAGCGCAGCTGAATTTGCACATATTCCATGGCTCTGTATGCCCAGTGCTTACATGATCACGTGCCTTGCTGCTTATGCGAGGGCTGCAGATTCCAGCGGCTGAATCTGCAAGGTGGCTGTGAGATGTGACAACGCTTGCAACCTTGAGCAAGGGGACACACCCACTTCCTACCCCGCCATGTGAGGCCGCCACACACCTTAACAGTTCCCTTGACCGGGCCAGCTTCATTTGTCCGGGTTGTAGCTTGACCCGCTAAGACCCTTCAAGTAGCTGGATTTATCACATGATGATAAGCGCTCCGTTTCCTTGGGCTGGCTTTACAATGGCAGGGTGCTGGCCTTGAAGCAACGACAAACGATCCGTAAACCATTCTGCCTCCGCATATCTTGATGCCGGACACGTGCAAACTGTATTGCATATGCGGGTTGGGCCATCTGTTGGTTGCGCACGTGCCTATGGTGCAACAAGTGAAGGCAAAACCCGGTGCAAGCTTGGCATCAGGGCGAGTCGGATCAGCCAGCCTGAACTCAGATCAGCCACCAAGTCCCGCTGCAACGCTGCGTTGGCAGCCTGGGTCAAGTGCCACGGGATGGTCAAGTGCAATCCACCCCCTGGCCGATTGACACAAGCACAAATCAAGCGTTCGCGGACTTAGTGATGCGGCTCGCCCCGCCGTGGTTTCTCACCGCAACCGATCCTGGAATCTGTTTGTGCCCTTTGCGACCCAAGACAACTGCTTCTGAATAAGAAGCACGAGACCACCGCACGTCGGCGTGCTCAAAGCACCATGCCTCCAGCATGTCGAACCAGGACTTGAGGAAATACCTGCGAGCGAGCCCAAAAGGCACAAGGGCTGAACGCCGTCCTGCAGCGCCCAGGTGAATAGCACTTGCAACTCTCGCTCCGGCCTTGTAGCGTCCAAAGCAGCAGTGATGGCCTCGGGCGACGTCTCCTTCGGCACCTTCCCATTCTCGTCCTCATGATAGATGGTGCCTCAGGCAAAGGAAACAAATACGGGAACACATCACAAGTGAGGAAAACAGAGCAAGGTCTCTCCCAAACGAGGCACCGTCCTCGCCCAAGCTGAACCCCTTGAGGCTGGATTCTTCGAACATATGCCTGCAGGTACGCTCGGTGACACCGGCTTTAACAACCGGCAATGTTTTGTTCCGTGCCCACCTCTCCATTCGTGTCCAGCGCTCCCGCTCCTTCTTCACCCACAGGAGGTACGAGTGATAGTCGTTGAGAAAATCCTCCATGTACCTCAGCTCAAGGAACAGCCCCTGCTGAAGACTTGGCTGACCCTGCTCATACCCTACAACCCTACCTGCACATGTGATAGATTGGTGTGCGCAAGCATCCACTCAGCCAACTGTGCATCGAATTCCAAAGCGTCCTGCCTCATGCTGACAACATAAACTAGAATCAAATTAGATCGCATCTTGCGCAAACATAACTCGGGAAGCAAGTCAAATCCTGCACTCCTACTAATTAGGGAAAAGGCCGGTGGGACACAATGAGTATTCTCTGCCTCTCGAGCTCCTATGAAAGATGAATAGACGCTGCAGACCAAAACAACAGATTTAAGGAGGAAACAAAATTCTAGTGCGTGGCTAGCCGCGCTTTTCAAATAATCTACCTTGTACATGTTTCTTTGTTGTGGCCTGAAACCGGACCTGGCCTTTTCATGGCACCTTGACTCCAAATGCCGTCCTGGGTGCTGCTCATCCTGATCCCGGCTTGGCCACCCGTGGGTCTTTTGCAGGCACCGCGTCCACGGCTTTACCCCGGCATCCCCCGAGTAGTGGATGACCCGGATGCTCTCGAAGGAGCGACTCACCACCAGGCGCTCGGCGTCATCAAGCAAGGGGTGCAGCGCGTTGTACATGTGATGCACCTGGAAGTTGTTCTCAACCTGGGCACCCAAAAATCACAGTGTGAGACTTGGCAGAAGTTCCGCTCGTTGCCGCACCTGATTTGCGTTTGGAACTTCAAATTGCATGGAATCGCTTGGGAGTTCTCCGGCTCAGTGACCATCCGGCGAATTTTCTGAGAAAAGTTGAGAACCTCAAGTTGGCCCTCGAAGAAGCTAGCATGAAGCCATCAGTTGCGATCCCATCACATTCCGAGGCACGGAGATGTGCCTCCAAGGGCGGTCAGCATAGAATCGGCTCAGGTAGTCCTGGTAGCATCGTCAAAATCAGATGAACACTGACGCCATTCCGGTTGGGAAAAAAAAACGCAAAAGCTGCCGATTCTCCAAACAAGGCCGGCAACTCTGAAAATCCAACACAAGCCAGCCTGTAGGATAGCCCGAATACCTTGCCTGTGGCCCTTGGGTGTCCTGCTCAGGGCCGTTCCCACGCGCGTGAGCTGGGTGGTACGGTTCCAGCAGCTCCTCCTGTAGCAAAGGCCGGGCCAATGACTCCAACGCCACTGGCGGTAAAACACCTGCTCGAAAAGAAGCCCCCCCGAATAATACGAATTCTAGTTGCCATGCATCCAAACGGAGACTGGGGAGTTTCCAATATGATAGAGCCGCATTCTGAGAGGTGCAGAACGCCGGCAAGAGTACACCCGCATTGTCCTACCCAAAAGTGTAGACTGCGGGTGACTGTTGGCTCAACGGGCCTGACCATGGGAAACCTGAATAGCGCAACACACAGATTGCATGGCCCTTCTTGCACCTCGGAAAACTCCGGGATTTGTCCACCAAAAAGTGGAGGTAGATGCTCAAAGGCTGGTCTTAGGGTTTTGCCGTTCGGCGCAACAGGTTGCATTATACAAGAATATACCTGCGCAAACTATTGGGGGTCCAGGACATCAGGCTCATACCTTCGTGCCCCCCCCCCCCCACAGCCAAGCTCGGTTTCTGGAACTAACGCCTGCATCTTCCTTGCTTTTTGTCTGCCATCCGACAACTCGGCACACATCTCACGTACGCCAAAAATCATTGTCATATCTTCAGCTTCCGGCCCACGGTGACCTTTTAGAGGGCACATGTTTCAAGACACACCCATAGGGGCACCCGCAGACCAGTGGTTTCCCTTTGGCTCCCCTGTCAAGGTCACCCAAACAGAGAACCGAAATCGAATGAAATCGAATGAAAGCGTCTTGGAGTCTTGGACCAAAGCGACGACACGCCATGGCGCCTGCATCTGGGCAAAGTCCGGCGCGCTGGGCGCCAGCAGCATGACCCCGGCGTTGATCCCGGTGCCTTGGCCCCAGGAGTGCAGCTGCCCGGGCTCGCGCCCGCTGAAGAAGGTGCCCCCGTCCAGGTCGTCCCCTAGAGCTGACGCAAAGGTGTTGGCGTTTTGGACAAAATCGATGCCATTGGTCAAGACCAATCACACAAACTAGGGAATTCACCTGCAAACTGACCTCAAAAAAATGATGGTTGAAGAGAAAGGTTCGCCAACAGTCGGCCTGGCCAATATAGCCAAGGATGAGGGCTCTAATCCGCTAAGCCAAGGTTGCTAGCAGACGACATCAATTGGCTTGCAAAAAGCAAGTGGGCTCGCAAGTTCACAAAAGTTCAGCTACCGGCCCGTACAACGATGAACTGACTTGCTGCTGAAAAGCCGTGCTTGTAGGGCCACCTTCCACGATTCATGCCACGCTTCATGGCAGCAGGGGCAGGCAGCTCGAACAAATCGTCGATGTTCGATACGACCTGGGCATCAACGGGAGGGAAGGGAGGGAAGGGAGGGAAGGGAGGGAAGGGAGGGAAGGGAGGGAAGGGAGGGAAGGGAGGGAAGGGAGGGAAGGGAGGGAAGGGAGGGAAGGGAGGGGAGGGATAGGAGGGAAGGGAGGTCCGGGAGAGGGGTGGCGAGGGAGCGAGGGAGGGAGGGGAAGGGGAGGAAGGGCAAGGAAGGAAGAGGGAGGGAAGGGAAGCAAGGAAGGCAAATAGGAAGGAAGGAACAAACAACAAAATAAACGAAGAACAAACGCATGGTATCATGTATTTGGAGGTCTAGGGCGGTTGGAGGCGGGGGGTTCATGATTTGTTGTTATTCCTGAGCATACAGGGTACCTCACCTCTGGGATTCCTTATATCAGGCTATTTGCTCAGAACTTAGGGGGGAAGTTGAGTCAAAGCGATCCTTGCAAAGACTTGGGGTCAAAGAGGACAAGCTACAAGCAAGTCGATATCCATGACCAAGACCTTCTCAAAGTCTGTCTGCTCCAGCGCTCGCAGCTTGGTGAAAACGTTGGAGAATCGCGACTCTTCGACTTTATCGTCGGTACTGAGCCGGCTAGCAGCAGACACCTGCCCGGAACCGTGCAGCGACTTGTCAATGATCCACGGGCGGGGCGTCAACGGAATCAGAACAAGCCTGGCCTGCAAGCAGTGTGTCAAGCTTCAAGTTGAACTCAAGGTAAAATCGGAATGTTTAAGCAAAAATGGAGGAAGAGATACCGTCATCATGCCAAAGGTTTCAAAGTCAAGCTTGACCTTCCCTCTGTAGGCGTGTCAAGTGTACAGGTGTAGAAACTACATACGCATCGCCCAGTGTTCCCAATTCAGGAACTCAAGCCTGCCTGGACATGATCAACCAGCCGGCAGTCCCAGAAAAGCCGGAGCAAGTTTATGTGCGCGAGGGGCACGTCGCTGGTGTGCAAGCACACAAGCGAATGCCGTGTCCTTGTCCGCTTGATAGCAAAGCCTGCAGCAGCACTGAACATGTAACCACTGAACGCTCAGAACGAGTTCACCTGCTTCTCTTTTGAATATCCGGCACACAAACGCGCAACATCCCCACAGCTAAATGCCGCCGAGCTGCCAAGAACTAGCGCTCCCAAGACATAGTCCTCGCATGCGGCAAGGGCCCAACGCACTAAGCAATCTACGTGAGCCATGAGTTGGCTGCGCCTTACGGAATGCATGTTCTTGTTAGCACACTGTTCGCTTTTCAAGCAGTCCATAAATTGAACTGCTGCTTGCCTCATCCACATGTGCCGTCCTTGGAACTCCCCCACAAGCAAACCAGGAAGGCGCACCGCCCGCGCGCAACAGCTGGGACATCACCGCCCGTGTGCATGAGCTGGGGCTCTGCGATCTTGACCTTCAGAACCGAAAACAAACAAAAAAACATGCTCTATGAATCATGGTTTGTTTGGAGTGAAGGACCTCCCTGGACTCTTCAACTTGATGCAGCTAGATTGTAACCACATGCTTTGGCCACTGCAGGTTGAGTCGTCGCAGATTCTCGCTGGCTACCTACCAAATTATGCCGAGCTGCGTCCACAGGGCGCTTGCACACCGAGCAAAAGCCGTACCAGCCCTGACCATCTCGCATTGGCTGAAGAATCTTTTGAATACTGCCCTGAAGGCGTGAGGACAACCTCAGATATGCTATGATCAGAAAAGAGGGTAAACCTTTCCTGCCGAGGTCCACCTTGCAACGTCGACCCCTGAATCATGCGGTGACAAAGCTGGGTATACTTTTTTCGATGTTAATCGTGGGTCCCTTCTTGATATGGGCCATGCCCCAAAGTGATGGTTTCCATTTGGTGTCCGTTTGAAACACACGAAAAAGGGCGATCAAAAACACCGAACCAAATATTGAAAATCCTTCCTTTGTAGTGAGCAGCTGTAGGCAGGCCCTGGCAGTCAGCGCCTCATGCACGCCATCATCATCTGGCACCGGACGCCGGACTCTGCGCCGAGTATCCGAAGAAACCCGAGGCTGCACGTATCCTTGGTTCAATCCCAACAGAAAAATATTTAGAGTCTTTCGAAGTCAAGCAGGTGAAGACAAGCTCAAGCGGCCCAAAGCCCGTCTGCCCACAGCGATGGCAATCACACCAGCAAGCCAGACTTGCAGAAAACTCCTGCAATTCGAAGTGTTTGCCCTTCAGCATGCGACCCTTGTCCCTGACGATTGACCAACCCTGTCCTTAGAGCGCCTGTGATGCCATGTGGAGATAGCCATAACGGCATCTCGATTCCGGTTGGAAAAATGCGCTTGCAAAATGTCGTGGCAGCAATGTCTGGTGACTGGTGTCTGGTGGGAGGAATTGCCACGAGTTATGGAGAGCAGTCAACATCAAAGAGCAGCAATTGAGCTGGTTGCATCTCTGAGCTCCTCTGCATGTTGTATAGCTGCGACGCTTTTTGAAGAAATGAACTGGGTCCAGCCGCGACATCCGACAAGAGCGAAGGTGCAGCGGCGACAAAACGCGCAACAAATAAAATGTCGGCCTTGGAAAGACTCGGGTGACTGAAATTACTACGGAGGGGGCCTGTGTCACGAACTTTTTGAGGATACCTCACCTCTTGGTTGGCGGTTTTGCAGGACAAGAAAAGGGCGGGCCCCCTAATCGAAAGACAGACCTTGCTGAGACCGCGAAGTACGTCCAGCCGCTGAGGGGCCCATCCCAGTTCCCAAGCTGCGGCTCACTTTTTGGGCAAACTCGCGAAGCCGAAGACGCCCTCGCTCCTCAGCTGTGTCAAACACAACCTCAACATCCCATGTTGAAGTGGTCCTGGATTCAGCCTGGCGAGTGTGTTTCCTAAAGTGGAGGTGTCAACCTCTGAACTTGGACACCTATGAATCATCCAGGGGCGCGGCGTAATCCCGGATGAGCCCATCCCCTCACCCGGCCTGATGGGCTGGTCCCCAATCTCGGCCGCCCACACGAACGCGCTCGCGCCCGAGAAATCGCTGTCTTTGGTGCGGCCTGAGTTTTTGTCAAACTTGTTGCATCGCTAAATGGGAGGGCCCAACGTGGGTGCATTTGTTTGGGTCTTCCTTGGGTTTTCCTCTGGTGTCCCAAGCCCGCCCAGGAAAGAAACGTGCTTAGTCCACTCTGCCAGTACCGAGCCCAAGCCAAACGGCAAGAGGTGGCATTTGGCTAAAGGAATTGCATGCTTCCAAGATGCTGCGGGCCATGTGAAGCAGCAGCCCAAGGGAGGTCTCCCAACCTCAACGCTGCCGTTGACACATGCACTGGGGATCCGATTCCAAGCCTCGAGATTCTGCAAGAAACCCCCTAAGACGGAGCAGGGTAAGCTGGGGCATTGCAAGGCAAGCGGTCTCTGTCAAGTTTATCCCCCGTGTTTTTTTTTCCCGCTTATTGTTCGGACCAACGAAAACCCACCAGCAATCTGCAGGAAAGCCTCACCTGAGCCAGTGAACAGGCCTGAGCCCGGCACTTCTCGCCTGACCAGCCGCCCGCAGTGGCGACCTGTAACTCTTCTGGTCAGGGCGCACGGAGGCCTGGGCCGTGCGGCGTGCGGGGGAGCCATGGAATGCCTCTGAATGAGTAAGCGCAAATTACAGTGTATGGATGTGCTGGACGCAACATGAAGCTGACCACGCAGTCCCAGCACTTTCCTCAGGTGCAAGTGGTCTCAATCTCGCGCGGAGCCCATACCCAGTCAGAAGGATCTCAGAGGATTTGCCCTAACCCCCCCTTCCCCCACTCCCCACGCCTGGTTCTTCTGACAAAGCGCAGGAGCTAAATAGGATGGGCGGAGAACGTCAAAACAGCACGAGTTGCGGGCCTCCCTTTGGTTTCCCTTTTAATTGGCAACCGACAGCCTGCAACAGGTCAGTGAGCAGCTGCTGACAGCTCCTCCAGGCGCCACCCTCTTCGCACGCCCTCAGCAGGCAAAGGTTTTTTGAGATGTTCCAACCATTTTGTAAAGTGGCGAAACCATGGATGCAAGTAGGGCAACAAGACTTGCAGCGTCTGCGGCAAGCTTGTCTGCACTTTCATCTGCGCCGTGTGCGCTGTCTATGTCACCTGCCCCTGCGCTGGCTGTGCCGTCAAATCCCAGAAATGTGCAATGCACAAAGCAAGCTTTTGCGGCCCTATTCGCAGGTCGGTGTGTGGGTCAGTCCGTCAGTCGGTCGGACTGACGCTGGGTCCAAGGGTAACCCTCCCACTTAGGCCCGCCTAAGCCTACCGTAAACCTACCATGAACATCCCACCGACCATCGACTCCAAAGCCTCATCCCGTCATCTGTTTCCACGCGGTAATGATAACCTGGCGCAAACCCAAGGGCGCATCAGGGTAGCAAGATACTAGTCCCCTCGCCCACTTGGAGACGAGGCCTACAGTACACCGCCAATTTATTTGTCCCATCATCTCTTTTCTCGGTGCTTCAGTTTTTCACGCAAAAACAAACTACGTAAAACCTACTAGACGCTGGCCAGCTCGATCTTGATTGATCCCACCCTGATCCCCTTAACCCGCTCCCTAAACTTACCCTCATGAACCCCACCACAAGCCCTAAACCTGTGCTAAACAGGTGCTAAGCCCACCCTAAACCTCCCCAAGCCAAGCCTAAACTTCGCAAGCAAGTACCTTAAGCCCACCCTACACCACCCAAACGCAACCTGACTTTTTCGGAAGCATCCAAAAAGTGAACCTTCAGCGGAGCAGATTGTGCGGATGGTGCGGATGGCGCGCAAACGCTGATCCCGCCTGCAATGAAAACTTGGTATCCCTCAGTTCGGGATCCTCAACATCATCCCCTGAAAGAAGACACAAGGACGAGTTGATAGGGAGTTCGCGGGATGGTGAACAGCCTGGCTTCAGCGAAGTAGGCACCTGTGCCTGAAACACAACTTGCAAATACAATGGTGGCTTTCCAAATGACCGGCCCCCCGTGCGCTACACCACCATTTGCACGTGTCAGCCCGTGGGTGTCTTTTTTCGGCCGAAGGCGCGACATGGCTGTGTTGAAACTCGTCAAGGCATCGCCTCCCCAAGCAGAGGCTGTTAGGTGCTGGCTGGCTCGCAGCAAGGACCTAAGACGTTTGGCGCCCAAAAGTTGACACATGTGTGTAGCAGCCACGAGCACATCCCAAACCCACTGATTCCGAAATCCCCCGGCGGGGTTCTAACTGGCAATGCATGCAAACCTTGAAGAATGAGCCTGTTAAGCGGCTTTTCTTTGCGAGGACAATTCGCAGCACAGGTTGCGGTTGATAAAGGCTGGGTTGCGGATATTCAGATCGAACTAGGCTGAGCTGGGGTCGTATTCGGAATTGATTAAGCGGCAAGGTCATCGTGCCGAAACGTGCTCGCTATTTTAGCCCATTAGGAGTCACTCACTCATATTCACACTGCTTGGTGGCAGTGGCTTCTGCCCCAGAAAGCCGCCAAAACATCAGTGTTGGGCTGTGGTGCTGGGAAAACTTCTCGAGCGGCTAGGCCCTGAGGCGGCCACAGTGCCTCAAGCCACAACCGTGCCGCGCTGCAGGCGTTCATGGCAGCTGCGTACGAGACCTCAGCCCCCGCTTTCCCGCCGTCCCGCCTGCCCAACGCCTGTGGATATTCCGGGGGAGATGGCTTCACGAGAAATCACGGACGAGTGTACCTACCCATCCTTCTTGGATCACACCCAAGCTGTACAGGGGCCCCTTTTGGCTGGCATAAGGGAGATGGGGCCAACTCCAGGGCACTCTTCAAGTTGGGAGCCTGGCCTGATCCACGAGGCGCCGCTTCCGCGCTGCGTAGAACAAGCGCAGGGCAAAGCGCCAGGCGGCGCTGCAGGCGCTGATCACCTCCGCCCGAGTGACGAGTCACACGCGCGCGTCTAATGGGATCAGCCTCTTGGAAAAATAGACGGCAAATGGCACACAATTTATTTGACCGAAGTAACCTGATAGCCATCAAACTGTGTCAGCCACCTCCGTTTGGTAAACTTGTCCCACTGCTGTTACAAGAACCTTTCGGTTTCCCCTCAAAGGAGGGGAAACCGTTCATTGGTTGAACAACCTTTTGCTTTCCTTTCAAAGGAATTGGGCCAGGTGCCGGATGAACTTCGACTGGCAGTGAGAACGGAAAGGATGGACCTAACTGTCAAGCATGTGCTGCTTTTCCTTCAGCATTCAACATTAAACAAGAGGTCCAGCTTGGCTCGTGCCCAATCTTCATCTCCGGACAGGCCACGGTATTGGAGAAGTCCACGCTCGCGCTGGTGCCTTCAGCCAGAGAAGCATTGGACCCCCAGGGTGTGAACTACATGAACCCAGGCAATCAAAATTGGAAGAGACGCATCCCTACTTTTCCCGCAAACGAGGCAAAGCGTCGCTCCCGCGCACACACACACAGACACACACAAACAAAATTGCAGGTTGCCGTGGCCTTGCAGGTTGCACGTGCCAATTTGGGCTGGCCTCGGTACAGCTCCAGCGCCTGCTCCCAGTGACCCATCCAGTCGCTGACAGCAGCGCCCCGCTCTGAGAGGCCCAGCAATGCCTTGGAGTTGAGCATCGAATCCAGGGTGAAAAGTAGATGGCCTATTTGGGTCCCACGGACTTGTGCCATTTGCGTTCACCCAACTCAAATATGATGGACCGGTCCCCATTGAACTTGGCCCTCACAGTTGCCAGGCGAAGGCAATGCTGAAAGTACACACAGCCATAGATGCCCTCAACCAGACAGCCTCTCCTTGATGAGTCAGTTCCCCAGGGAGTCCATGGTGCCCTCTGCATGGCCATGTTGTTGCAGCTGTTGAGCAATGAGTTGGCTCAGCTGTTCGCCACGCGGCTGAGTTCCACTGGAAACCTTTTGCAGCGCCGAGAACGGCCACGCTCTCCTGGGCCAGCTCAGTTGCAAGCCCCAAACTGACGATTTTTGTCCATGGTTTGGAGGTGGTCCGAGGGGCTGACAGTAAACACATTGGCTCAGAGCAGGCGACACTCGTGGTAAACGTGGGTTCGCGGGGCTTGAGGTAAACAACGACGACAGCTGTGGGGCAAGTGGCACAAAGGCGCTTGTTGAAATCAGTTGGCATCGTGCTAAATTGGCTGTGCCACAGGGCGCTGCAGCTTCAAGACGAACTCGCAAACAGCTGTGGCACGAAGAAAGCACCCTGGAAACCCGCGGTTGCCACCATCCCCTAAGCAGACTAAGGCTCTGCGCGCGCATCGCTTGGACCGCCTTCAGCCTTGCTCTTCTGCCAGAAGCCTGCCGCCTCTCGCCAGCGCGCCGCTCGCGAGCAAGCACCCAGTAAGGCTGTCAGAGTCACGGCGTCCTTGGCCCGCTTAGAGACAAAAGGCCTAGCATGTGATGCGGAAGGCGTCAAGCTTACCCTCAGAAGCATCTCCAAGCTGCGCGGCCTTGCTCGTTTAAGTGTCGACTTGTCGTTTGACATGAATATGATATGCTCGTTCGTGTTGCCCGAGCGCGGCAAGTACAAGATTACGTCATATACAAACTCTATAGCAACGAGTTTCTTGTGGAACCGATGGCTCACATGATGGAGGTGTCTTTTGTTGATTGATGTTGAGGGTACCCTTTGTTTAAAGAGAAGCCAAAAGGCAAAGCCTGGTCCATTTTGGGTGTCCCCGAAAAAGAGACGTCATTCTGTCATGGAGAAACTGAGGCGGCAGCGCTCTCCAGGCTTTCTCCCACAAAGCGCGCGAGGAGTTCGATGGACTCCTCCCAGTCTCCCGCACCATCACATCCGCTGAGCAGCGAGTTCATGGTGACTCGGTTCGGCACCAGGCGCCTGCCAAGGGCTTTTTGGTAAAGCTGAGCCGGGTCTTGCTGGTTGCCTGTGGTAGAATTGGACCAGGCATCAACAGCCACGTGTGAAATGAGACTGCTCCTCAAAAGCGCAGAATTGTGATAACAAACTGCTCGCCGTTCAGCCCCAGCGGCAGGGCGCGAAGTTCCGGCAGCAAACCCTTGACGCTAGCCTGGGAGCGCCCGCAGGCAGTGATCGCCTCGGCTCTCAAGATGTGCGCGGACAGGACTCCCTGTGGCTACCAAAATCCTCTGCGACGAGGGGCCACGTTGTAGCACACAATGTCGGGGTGGCTCCGCTCACCTGTCAGCGCCGGCATCAACACCACCCGCACACTTGAACAGCCAGTGTGAAGGGTAAACAGTTTTGTTGTTTTCGTGCCTCCATGTTGGTTTCTGAGGGGTCCGGGGGTAAGAGAAGCAAACTCATATGAAGCAAGCCACAGAGGCACTGGTCGTGGAGAACCTGCACGGCCAGCCGCCACTGCGTGCTGGAAGAGCAGCTGCCAGAAATCGCATTGTACATCATGACGTCCTTGGTTGCTATAACTAGCAGCCACTGCACGTCATCAACTTGCCTGTTTCCTTGAGTCCTCAGACAAGGCTGCCAACGCTGTCAATTGCAAATGTTTCTGGATTCTCTAGCACTGGGGCGTGGGGCAATGATAACGAGACTCTCCTTTGCATTTGGTCGGCTTCTCGTGCGGTCATGGCTTCTTGTGCGCCAAACCGCCAAACAACCCTTAAGAAGCTGCCGTGCCCTCTCACTGATTCAAGCGGCCGGGCGGCCGCCATGGTGCCGCAGCACCGGCAGCACAAGTAGGCTGTTACGCCAGCACGCTGCACTGGCGGCAGTGGCTCCAGGCAAGGAGACCTGAAACTCGCGGGCATCCCCGACCCAAACTGGAAATGAGGGCCCCTTGGCTATACATGTCAATTGTTTCGCATGGGTAACCAAGGGATGGGGATAGACGTTGAGCTCCTGTCCTCGGGGTTGAGCTCGAAAGCGACGTGGGAAGCGGCACGCCAGTGGTTGGCATGCGAGAAGGCCTGACACACCACAGAACGCCGTGCTGAAGGCTGTCTGTAAGCTGTCGCCCAGCAAAGTTGAGTGTACAAAGGGCCCCCTTCTCCTTGTTTTCTTGGCCGCTTTTGACGTTCATCCAAGTCGTGAAACGAGATCGGCGGTTTTGATACATTTTCGTATCGCGATGCAAGCACTCCTGCCTTGGCTAAGCTGTTGAAGGTCACAGCATCTGGCTGGCATGCTGATGCGTGCAGATTGGCGAGCAGGCTGCCAGCGGCATCCTGAGAAGACTGGCATGAGGAAACATGGGGCAAGGAGTAGCAAGAAGCAACCAAACGATTTGCTGCACAGCACCCTCCCAAGCCCCCAATGTGCCTTTCCCTGCTTACGGACATCTGGGTCTGGGTGCCATGGAATGTTTGCGCTGGCCGATAGGAGCTAGAAAGCGATGGACATGTCCTGGATGTTTGGAGTGTTAGACATTTGGCTAATTCGCTTTTCTAAAGTCTAATTCTCGGAAATTCCTGACCAAGAGCCGCTTGTCTGGGAATTACCTTTAGGCGAGTGAAAGCGCGGAAAAGGTGAAGAGAGCAGACACGGAAGGCTTACCGTGGCAACAAACAGCTCGCAGCGGCCAAATTCTTGAGGTTACTTTGTCCATGCGGTGCAATAAACCAGAATTATTGACGGGAACTGCCAAAATAGAAATGTTCTGATGTCATTCAACATCAAATAAATCTCCCAGCCCTTTCACCAGCTATTTACTTTCATGATCTCATTTACAAGCTGGTGATGGGAGATAAAAGTGTGATATGACTCTCGCTGATGCCACCACAGATCTTTGCTCTCCACTTTCTGGCCACGGCTCTGCTGCCAGCTCTGGCGGCGCCACGCTGCATAACGCGATCGCCGTGTTAAATGTGAAAAGATCTGGGGCTGGAGTTGCCTCACACGACCGCAAGGCGGTATACACAGAAACAATGACAATCAGTCGGCATAGGTTGGCACGACAGGTTCCGACGTTCCCCCCCCTCCCCGCCAATTTTCTCACGACAATGGCTTCCCTTCTGAACCCATCATCATAAAGACGAAGCCAACGGCTCATGCCCCACCGACGCAGCACATGAACTATCACATCGCAAGGCGCGACCGCAAATGCCCAGTGCCTACCATATTCTATTGCTGCCTCTCTTTTCGAGGTTGGTATTTCAGAGCTAAGTGCCGCAAGACAAACAAATACACCAAGTGCTGCCCATGGATGGCTATTTTTCCCACAATTGGCCTCCCACAGCCGCAGCGCCACTGCCCAGCAACGCGCCCGCTTGCAGGCACCAAGCACGGCGTTACTGCCTTAAACGGTGTTTGAAGCTCCACGCAAGCTGAAACTGCATATTGGATGAGTTCGTCTTCTTTTTTCCTGAATCAGCTGCCTGGCATCTAAGATTGCTTTCACAACAAAGGGCTTTCCTTCCTTCCTTCCTTCCTTCCTTCCTTCCTTCCTTCCTTCCCACCTCCCTGCTTCTGTCTCCTTGTCTTCCTTTAATCAACACTTAGATCCGCAGCACTTCTCGCCCTTTGAAATTGGCCCTCCCAAGCTCCAGGTTCCGGGCTCGAAGCCTCCGGCCGCCTCGGCAACAGCGCCAGGGCCTCGCGCCACTTGAAGCCCTGGCGTCGTCAAAGTGCAGACCTCCCGGAGAAAGGAAGAACCAACCCTCAAATCTTAAATTGCTTCCATGGCTTGCCCTGGAAACCAAACACCTCTCCAGCAACTGTCGCATGCACTTGTGAGAAGTTGTCTAAAGCCACACGGAGCCGCCCTTGCAATGCGGCTTTGCAACAAGGGGGTTGTTGAAAACACCATGTGGTCAAATAACACCTGTCACTGCCAGCCTTGCCCAGCGCCCCCAGTGCCGCTGCGAGTAGTCGTGAATCTCGGATCTCCGCCTCAAGTTGTCCAGGGTGGGCAGGTTCTTGAGGCAAGCTGCAGGAAACAGCCATGGCCTGTTCTGTTTGAGAAACGCTGACAAAACGTGCCAGCCCAAAGGGATTCATAGTGGTGGCTCTGGGCTAACAACGAACGGGCAGTCCCTTGACAGTTCCCTCTCTGTATTTATGTTAAGAGATCGCACCTGCCCAAATGTCAGTCAGACTTGCGCGATTGATGATTTCAGTTGCCTGTTCGGCCGACATTTTTCACATTTGGCCCTTGTGTCGCACCTAGTGACCGCACAGCTACAGCTAACTTCCACGCGCCAAGGGAACACAAAGAATGTCGTCTGTTGTATCGCCGCTGGTCGCTCAAAGGAAAACAAACAGCAAAATCAGGGAAATGTCAACCTTAAGCCTGTGAACCTACATGAACGGCAACAAACACCTCTTGTAACCTGCAAGGACACTCGGGTGGAGGAAACGCCTTTGGCACAAGCGTAGCACGCAAAGCGCATTAACTTGCGCAGCTCCAGCAATATCGCAACTTGGTAGCACAAGCGTAGTACGCGCAGCACACTCCCGCAGCTGCGAAGCACTCTTCCGCAGCTCCAGCTTGAAAATCGCAATTTTGTAGGTATTGTTGTGTTTTTGTCGGCCCTATTGTTCCTGAAGGGTTTTTGGAGTTTTAAGCGCCGCTATCATGTTTCAGTGTCCCGGCAACACATCGTCTCTGACCGAGGTTTAGAGCAGCGCTCACATGGCCCTTGGAAAGCGGTATGCAGAGGGTACTCCGATACTGTACTCTTCACTGTCTAGCATGAGTCCAAGTGTTCATGAATCATCGTTTTGTCAACGCCTTTAGGCCGAGGAATCAAGCCTACTTTCGGACTTCCACTGCTGGTCGTGAAGCCTGCGCAAGCAGGAGTGAAATCGAGAGTGAAATCCAGGTGTTTGGACTCTGCCCAGGCTATGAGGGTTTCAGCAATGGGCATGCCATTCCCCCACCTCCCACAATACGGTGCGAGTTGTGGGGGCTTTGGCAAGCAGAAGGTGTTGACCCTGACTTTCACAAATGAGTTCCTTCTTGTTTTGCTATGCGAGGGGCCGGCGTCTCCACCAGCGCCAGGAAGACAGCCAGCTGCCAGCGCTGTGCCCGTGCCAGTGCCCCGACCTCTTTGGTGCGCTCAGCCAAGAACCTGCAGGCGACGGTGGCTCACATTTGATCCCAAAATCGTTGTGTCTATTCGTCTCATTCGTCTTCGGCGTGGTTATGAGTCCGAGTCTTATTGGCTGCTGTCTTAATATTAAGTGTCTTTCATCTTAAAATTTAAGTTATCTCTGTATCTCTTGGTGTTTCTTGCTACCCACCATCCACATCTTGCAATGGTTATAGTAGATTAGTACAAATTAAACAAATAGTCGATTGCATTCAATGGTAAATCGGCTTCATCCTCCTGTTTCCCTTTCGTTCTGTGGAGTTGATTGGGGGAGAGAAGAGATGGACATGAAATATGATGAAAATAATGAGAACCGTGGGAAGCAAAAGGAGAGAGCGGCCACCTATCCACCTCCAAGCCTATCAATCATGCATCTTAAGCTTAGCAAGACAAGCCCGATGTCACGATGTGAAGTGCCGCTTTGGCCAAAGCGATGGTTGATGTCCCATGCGTTTAGAAACGGCGCCCAAGCTTGAGGACAGCCCAAGCCTGCTCGCAGGCTGCGCAGCACGGCCCATGCGAGCATCATGCAGCTGTTCGCAAACCGACTTTGGCTGGAATCGCTTTGCTAGGCTCGTTGCCGTGACGCCTAACAGGCTTGCAAGCTAACGCGGCTTGTTCTGATTCCTTCACCAAACGTATGTGCCAATGCTTGTCAGCCGCACGATCCAACCTGGCCGGCTGCACCACGAAATGGTGCAAAACAGCAATAAACTCACCAAGCGGCCCACTCAGTCTGAGAACTTTTTCGCCCAAACTCCAACTTGTAAGAGTTCCTCGTCAAAGGTTAGTTGCGCACAAACGCCACGGGACCAATGGACATCTCCAGATCGAAATGCTCGTTTGAATTGGCAACAAGCTTGACCGTTCAAATTTGGAACGCGACACCGCGAGCGATGCAACTTGTCCGACCTAAAGATCATTTGATCAAACATGAGGCTGTCACAACATGTGCAGCTTTGCCAGTCGCAGGAAAGCCACCATGGCGTTTTGCTGTGCTGCATAGGTTGGTAGTTTGCCCGTTGATTGGGAGACTTGTAGCCTCCGGCACGCTTTTAACTTTTCCTCCAGCTGTGACCACTTTGGAAACTGAAACACTTTCCCAAGCCGGTGACACTCTCAGCGCCGAGGCAGGGGAACAAGCAAAGGGGTCGTCCTCAAATAATCGCGGTATTCCTTCAAATGGCCCCAGCGCTTCATGCCCATCCGCCTCAGGATGGGCACTCCGCTCACCTTCAGGAGCAGGAAGCTCACGAAGCAGGGGGACATCACCGTCAGTAGCTCCCAACCGCGCAGGGCAGTAGAGCAACTCAGAAAGATCCCCCACCACATGCACATCTCCCCGAAATAGTTGGGATGCTGAGCCAGCCTCCACAGCCCCACGTCAATCCTCGACTTTGCGCGAACGGGTGTGGGAGACTCGAACAGGCAATGGTGGTGCCCGGATTTTGGCCCCAGACGGCCAACAAAAAAACACCTTTGAAACACCTCAATCTTCAGACTACTTTCCCATTCTGGCCCAGATTCCAGTGGTCCCGGTTCCCCGGATCCGCTCGGAACATGCGCTTCTGAACGTCCGCCGTGGTCTGCACCACGAAGCCAAGGACCCAAAGCGCCCATCCCGCCACGTCCCGCCAGCACAGGCGTGAGTCCCGGGCAGAGGCCTGGATGGGCCGTCAAAACCCATGGAAATCCAAGAGGGTCCCTTCGAAAGACTTCTCGTTCCTGAGCCCTTTGTGGTTCTGTGCCTTGGTGGCTTGGGGCTACTGAGAGCTGGCCAATAAATGCGGTGCATGGTCACTTCAACAAGCCCCGTCTGCTGGGATTGACAAAGCAATGCAAACTATAGGTTTCGTGTGCTCAGGTGCCAGGATCAATTAATCGCTACACTGACACCTTTCTGCCTAACTACAAGTAAACAAAAACACCAGGCTCCACCTTTGCCATGCTCACATGCGAGTTGGCATGGTTGTTTTCTCAGCCTTGGGCTCTGCCTCCTCCATGCTCTCCTCCGAGCTCTTGACCTTGCTGTTGGAAAGGAACACGGGTAACGCTGTGATGAAAATCCATAGGGCCTGGACAGCCCAAAAAACAAGGAATCTCATGGGCCGCGTCTTCACGCTGTCGAAGCGCGTGTCGCCCCCATCCCGGAGCACCCTCCACAAAAGGAAGCTGCCGAGTCGTGTGGCCCACAACACCACCAACACACTGTTCACGTTGCTGCGGGTGGAGCGGACGCCCTTCCTCCGCGAGACGATCACACACAGTATGTAAGTAAGGCTCGCGGAAATGTCGTAGAACTTCTCCGTCTGCAGAAACGAAGCAGCCACCCAGCAAGTGAACTGAATCCCAGCATCCGCTGCAGCAACAGGCGCAAGTGCCGTCATTGCCGCGATCATAGGACGAGGCGGAACCCGCAAGGCAGTAGTAAGCGCCACCCGGCCCGCAAGCATGGCAGCGCAAAGGAAAACGCAGGACGCAGGCTTCGCAGAAACTTGGCGAGGACTTGGGCCCTGCAGCAATTGCCGGGCATGGCACTCTGCGGAAAAAGCTTGGGAGCACTTAGACTTGCACTAGCAGTCTGATGATTCATCGTTCATCCAGTGAAAGCATGTCTGAACTTTAAAGGACGTGAGCAGGTGTTCCTGGTTGGTACGAGTTATTTCTTCGGCCCCAAACTGAGCAAAGTTTGAATGGCAAAACAAGAACCCCAGCCCTCGGAACAAGGGACACCAGCACAACGCTAATCGAGACACCAGGTGCCGAAACACCGGTCAGGGGTTCTACGGGGCCGTGGGTGCACGTGGCCGCTGCAGGCAAACGATCCCCTGCAAGCAGGGCTTGGCAGCAAGAACTGGGCCAGTGACGCTGGACAGGGGCCGGATCTCGCAACTGCAAAGCATGCCAGCCGATGCCCAACTGGCAGCAAAGGGCTTCGAGCTCCGCGCCAAGTCTCTTTTCCGAAAGCATTGCGAAGCGTTCTTCAGGCTAATCCAACTAGCGCACTCACACGAACAAGTTTGAGCAGGCCCGCTTGCGTGCGCAAACTCGCAGGAACACACTTGCACGACCGAGCACGCTCGCACAAGCTCGAAAGAGCGCGTTTGCACTGGCAGGAGCACGCTTGCACGAGCACGATTGCACGAGAAAACTTGCACGAGAAATTAAACATATCTTTTCAGGCGGCGCAGGGGACCGAACCCGGCGCAAAAACGGGAGCTTGATCTGCTTTTTGCGGTTCCCGCGCGAACCTCTACGGGATCGGCGTGATCAATGTGCAGAAACAGTGGGCTTTGCGACCCTCTGCGGGGATCGGCGTGGCCGATGTGCAAAAAGAGGACTTTTGCCACTGTGGGTTTACCCGCGCGACCCTTTCGGGGACGGCGTGGCCAATGCGCAAACAGTGTGCAAAGTTCTGCGGGGATCAGCGTGGTCGATGTGTAAAAACTGAGGACTGTTGCTATCTTTTTGTACTCGCGGCTGAGTCCTCCAACTCGACACCGAATTTAGCACGCTTTGTCGAGATCTACGCTTGCGTCTTGTTCTTGTGACATTGCATGTGTCTGCCGCAGCTTTTCCATGCTTCAAAGGGCAAGAGGTATTTGGTCAATCGCGGTCTGCGTGTCGATCACGAGTTTCCGTTTGGGGTCGAGCAATGAAGCCTGGCCATCTGCGACCGGCAGGGCAGGCAATGAGAAGCCGAGCGCTTTGTCCGCTAGGCAGGGCGGTTGTTCAAACAACGCCGCAAGCGAGTGCATTCATTGGGGTGGCTCCAATGACAGCCAGGGGAAGTGCGAGCGCGCATGAACCCTGAACGGTGGCACACGTGCGCGTGCAAGCGACACAACACAAACACTATGTTGAGACTGTGAGCTGCTCCATGAAAATGCTTTTCTCCTCCGCCTGTTTGCCATGATGGCTCATGCGAAACGAGGGCTGCCACTCTCGAGCACGCATTTCACGAACTTGTAAAGCGACAAATCCGCTTCCAGAAGATTGTCCAAAGTCTTGCGCGTCTTTTCAGTGATGTTCAAATTGATTTTGGAGAAAGTCCCTTTATTGATGTGCTTGATGGCAATCGAATATCCATATATCATTTCCAGGCGTCTTGAGAAGCCTTGCAAGTCTTCCAATAGTCCCCAGACTGGATAATGGAACACAAGGTTCGAGATTGCTGACTTGAGGTCTGACTTCCCCACTTTCCGAAAACCAAGTTGCGTGCATCCTCCATCAACACATGGCAAGCCAAGTGAGGTCTTTGAAATATCACCAGAGAGCATTCTTGTTTGGTGATTGTCAACGCCATAGAACCACACGTCTTGCCCCATGACGGCATCTGTGTATTCTGCAATGGATGTGTTGCAAAATCTGCGGTTTGAAGTTCCATGGGAGCATTCCCAGCGAACATGAGACACGTAGCGCTCGATTGGTTCTCTGAGAACTGTTGCATATGAGCAGTTGCTACCAAAAAATGCGCAGGTACCAAAGGATACGTGACCTGCAGCGCCAATGATGGTATGCCGTGGCTGCATTTTTGCTGTGTAGTTGCTGCGCCCAAACACTCCCCATGGAAATAGATGTACGCCACTAGACGACAAACGAAGCGAGTAGCAGTCACGTCGCCCTTGTTTAATGCGAAGCTTGTCCCGCAGATTGTTGATCTTGCCACAGCCAAACGCATCCCAGGCCTCGAAAATGGCCGACACCACGGCCGTGCCTCCGGTTTTGGGGATGTGAGTAAAAACCAGAGGCCATTGACCGCGCCGATCTGGTCGATGCTGCAGCTCCAAAAGAATCATCTCAGTCTCGTGCTGGTCGAAGATTCCGAGCCGTTGCACACATTTTTCCAGCTCGTGAATTCTGGGCCCCGACTCAACCGGGGTAACCTGTTCAACCTGTTTGGCTAGGCCCGTGCCGTCACACCGCGAAAAAGGCAAATACATAACAGACAGTCCAAGGGTGAGACATGTGGCTGCCACGGCGATCGTAATGGTAACTGTCTTCATCGAAGTTGCGCGGCACAAGGCCGGAAGCCGGCAACCAGTCAGAGTTCCCGGGCCATCGGGAAGAAATGCAGGACGCAACTGCAAGGGGCATGCCACTGCAAGCCAATGCAACATGAGCCACCCAAGCTTCTTGCCAAATGGTTACACATGCCCCATGAAAACAGGTGGTAACTTGGCCAGGCGAGGAGTGATTGAACTTGTGATATATTGAATTTGCAACTGTATCTGAAGCCCACTCTAACCAAATGAAGTGACTGGAAATACAATGTTGTGTTGCACACTGGGTCTGACAATCCCTGTTGCGGCAATGAACGTTTGTTTGTGTATCCAGGGCTGCCTTTTGGCGTTGCTGATGGCTTGGCCAGCGTTTTCTTCAGCGCAGCAAGCCGCAAAGGGCGCGCAAAGAACGCTTAAAGCACACAAAATTGCCTTTGTCCAATTGTCTTTGTCCAGCAACGCTGCGCGTGGCAACTTGTGATTGCAAAGCCTGACCCAAGCGACGAAATTGTTCATTCAATGAACATTGTGCGTTCAAACAAA